TATTTAAACTTTGTGTGCAAAATTGTGTACTATATGTTATATTATTTCAGTTGTTGTGTCAAGACATAATTGGCTTTTGTGTGTTTGTTACTGGTGTCCCTGAAAAAGATAAAACTAATCCCTTTAAGTACCTCATTTAGGGCAACATCTTTCAAACTGGCAAAGTCTCCATGGGACCTCATACTTGTATTTTTCAGGGTCATCTCAGGTATAAGAAATGAAAAGCCAAGGTGGACCACTCACAGTCTTAGCTTGTAGACCCAATTTTCTTACACCTCCTGAAGTCCCTGTATCCCTGCAACTTTGAAGTCCAGCCAGCTTTGAAAAAGCCTACAATCTCCCAGTCATGACCAGGCAGAGGATTAGCCAAGCCCTGCAGGACCAAGTCAAAAGAGAACGAAAGAGGCCTGGAGGAGTAGTAGTAGGGCCATTCTCTACAAGGGCCATGGACGCACAAGCAGCTCTGCCTCCGGCCAGAGCTGTGGGGGATTAACAAGCTACTAAAAAAACTGAGAACAGACCTCCAGCCCCTTTTTTCATTATTTCCAAAGAAACCAATTTACAGTCAAGATCTGGGGGATGCTGCTAATTCTTCCCACAAACTGCCTCCTGCTTCAGCAGAAAAATCTTTGTTGTGTCAGTCAAAAAAATCCGCTTTAGTGAGACGGCAAACATTTTTATACTCCAGTCAAAAAAATAAAAAAAGCATGCGTCAACAAAGAATTCATTTATTGATACGAGTGCTTCAAAAAAGCAACAATTTAATGCTGAAAGAGCAGCAGAAACACTTCTTATCTCTCCATCAGACTGTGAGATCAGTCACAGGGGAAATCACTCTGAAAAAGTTCATTTTTCCTTTGAACCAATGGAATATTACCATTTCATTCAAAGAGCCAATGTTTTTCTAAACTTTAACTTGGAAATACTTTAGAAATGCTTTGCTTTAAATATATTTTAAGTGAAGCAACTACCTCATGGACAATGTATAACAATAACAGGAACTAATGTGGAAAACTGCTTTCTTAATGTCACATCAAATGAGCTCATGCAAATTATACGTAGTAATTTAAGAGACAAAGAAATCCTTCACAAGTGCAACATTTTGGGGAGTTTGAGCTGTACACTTGGCATGCTTCTGAAAGCATTAATGGCAAATCATCAAATAAAACCAAATCTATAGAATCAAAAGAACCCCACTATTAGCAGTGTGTTAGTTTAAAAGTACATTAAGAAGCCACAAAAGGTCTCAAATAAAAAGACGGACGCCGCTGCCTACCTATCAGTGAGTTTTAAATAACAGGGCCTTTTGTCTTATCGGTGACTGAGAGGAGCTTGAGGACTTGGGCCTTCATCCCTTTGTTGTTACGGAGTCTCTGGTGAAAACGGAGGCTTGGCGTGGGTGTGCGAGGAAGAGCCAGGCGGCCGTGCAAGCACATCAGACTGGAGCGGTCTTAATAAAGCTTCTCTCTATCCACCCCAGAGATCTCCTCACCCCAATTATACGGCTGACACCTCTACCCTCCTCTATCTCCTCTTATTTCTCACAGCACCCCCCTACCTCCCACCCCACTCTCTCACACACACACCCGCAGCCCACCATCCAGTTCCCAGCTCTGATCATGGCTCTACTTTTGCTGTGCTCAAAGCCCAAGGGGCCTGCACAATATCAGGCTGATGGTGGTGTTTGCTTCACTGTCTGCTGCCTGAATTTCATCAGGAGTGTAGCTCTTCTTGTATTGACATGAGATCACTACTGTGCAGCCAGGAACTATGTAAACTTCCATTTCTTTAAACAATCCCTCAGAGAGAATAAGCGAGCGTGTTACTATATTAGGACTTTATTTATATTGAAGTGTTCCATTGGTTCATTTCTGGTGTTGAAATTTTAGTCCTCTAATGAAACACATTAATTCAATTTTACACAATCAATACAACCCAAACAAAAAATTTGAAATAAAAAGCTTGGTGTGAGGATGTGTCTGTTTGAAAACTTTAACCTGTATACATGAATATTTTTGGACACGACATGATGGGATGAGGGGGGCTTTCTATCAGCATTGTTCACAATGAAATAAAGAAGAGAGACCAAATCTTAGCTAACAAGTAAATTTGCAAATGGATTTGGTAATCGTTTTATGTTGAATGCCCTTCCTGAAGCAACATGAGCTCAAACCTGCAGCTGTAGACAACTGAAACCCCTGAGAAAATGTGACTTAGACTTCTAATGGCTCATTGGTTGTAATGAGATTGCAACATCATATTGATCAGCAGGTGCTGAAGGTGTGTACTGTAAGGTGACAAAGTGTGTTAATGAGACAAATTACCAAAACATGAATATATTCATGTTAAACAAATTGACACAAATCAGCTAATGACTACACAACATGATGCTTTGTACCCATTTACTGTTTCTAGATCATTTTAAAATTAAGTTAAATCTAATAACTACATTTCATCAAGTGGACCGTTGCCTTTTCACTATCATAGTTTTAACAATTTTTTTGAAGCAAAGGCCAAAATGTACATTCAGTTTTGCTCTACGTAATTTTATTTGACAAATTCCTGGTCTGAAAACTATTTTTGAAGATAAAGTATTTACTGGATTGACAGAAACTAAAATCAGTAAAATTTTGTTCATCACAATTCTTAAAATTGTATTTTTTAAAAGGGAGAGACACAAGAAATTATTATATTTTGCTCTTTACAGATTCTTTTAGTGCAAAAACTATTTAAAAAGAGGAACATTTAAATTTTACATTTTAAAATTTTTTATTATTATTATTATTATTAGAACAATAATACTTTGTGATTATGAAGTTCTCCTACTAGAAAATAAATACTTGACCATCAGGTAATATCAAAACTGAGTCACTGCTGATTATTTGAACCCATTTCTATTTAACTTTGCATAGGAGTAAATATTTGTTTTCATCCTTTAGACATTGATTAAACTCAATGTGAAATAAGTCAAAATGCAATGAAGTTGTTTCATAAACAGAATTATGTTCATGATGACCAGCTGACTGAATACAAGAGCCTATATAAGACTGTGTCCAACACAACCAACAACAAAACAACCTCTCTGCACACCACAGAACTGGAACTCTTGTTGAACCGTCCATAACGTCACTTGTTTTTGTGACTTTTTACTTCTTCCTGCTTTTAGTTTCTGAATTGTTCAAGGTTACAACAGACCTGCATCTGCCCAACCATCTGCCTCCAGCCTTCCCACGAGGCCTTTTGTCATTGCCGCTCTTTGTCCCTGTCCTCTACTGTCCACAGTTAAGCTCACTTAAGCAAGTCTTTACCAGACAGAGAAGTTTTGGGGTGACTATCCAAGTTTCTACTTTTCTTCAGCTCGTTTCCCCACTGTCAAAATTAAAAACCAGTGACAAAAGTATGGTCAAAATACAGAAATATTACATTAAAAAGAAACATTACTAATGAAATATTCTATAAACAGATGTATACTTGTATTAAAGTAGGCCCACATTAAAAATAGACAATGTTTTGCTGATTTTGACATGTATTTTAAAAATGCACCACTGCGTCTTCATCAAGTTAGAACTATTTCATTAAGATGCAAGAATCTAACGTCTGAACTAAGTTTGTCCTTGGATTTTAAGATAGAAAAAAATGTCTGGAAAAATGTGAAAAATACCTAAATGGTAAATAAGTTTCATGGGTACTTAAAATCATTCAGAAATAATTTATTTATTTTGCAAAATGCAATCATGATATTTCTGCAAAGCATACAAAAGTGTTGTTTCCATAAATCTCTGAAGAGTAATTTCCTTTTTACAACCAGTTAAATCTAATATTAAACTTTTAATCCTGAAACAATTAGAGAGAAACAGCATCCCTTACCTTACAGCTTTCAAACAGTCTCCTGTCTGCAGCAAATAGGATTGGAACAGGCTTCAGCTGCAGCTGTCCATGAATCTAAAAGAAAAATATGAGATGAGTCTTACATATGTGTATATCACAAACATATTACTAAGCAGCTTGCAAGTAATGCCACCTAAGACTCTGAACATAGTCATGTTTTACTTCCAGCAAAGAACTCCCAAGTCCAACTATGAATAACAATGGCCACCCATAATGTTGCATATAATACCCTTTATTATTGGGAAAATGTGAAGAAGTGCCATCCAGTATAAACATGAGTTTGCCTGTTTGGAGGTATCTGGAAAAAGCTGTTTTTGGGGAGGAAAGCAGTTTGCATGGCAACAGGTTGTTTTGCAATAAGTGAACAAAATCTTTCAACAAATCCCAGAGCTCAAACTAGCCAAATCTGCTGATAGCATCTCTGCTCACAATCTGCTCTGGCAATCTGCTCTCAGAAAGGAAAAAAAAAACATTTTTACCTTGCCAGAACACAAACCTAAAAGGTTTTTACAGTAAGATATATTTAAAAAAAACATGGGAAACGCTAAACCTCCCACATCTACTCCTGACAAGTTTGCAACTTATTTTTAAGCAATAATATTATGTGAAAAGCTTGTATAAGTGCAGAACACATGTTCATAGAAGGGAAGTGTGGGCAGTTTGTTGCAGTGTTTCTACAGTGTGAAACCAGAGATATTCACAGTCCAAATTTCTTTGGCACATGCCAAATAAATAAATAAAATAAACAGTTGCACACAGACATGGCATAATATCAGTTTTTGGTTCAGTAAGAAGTACAACTCTAATAGACCATTTTGTAGATTTTTGTGCACATGTGCACAATGGAACCCAACTTTTCCATTTAACAGGTCAATGAATATAAACAAAGAGCTTTAGCTGGAAACGCCGATGGAATTAAACAGATTTAACAAGCACAAAAATACATGTATAGCTAAACGATAATGAAAAATCTACTTTATGATCTTAAAAGGAACGCAATTAGCAACCTCTGTGTTTATATCACTAAAAACGTGAGCGTGACTGCTTTGCCCATGCACATTTATAACCATTGTTTTTACAACAAAATAGTACACAGTATTCTACAGCAATCATATTAGCTGATTGGAACATTTGACTTATTTGATCATTCAGTCCTTTTCTCAAACTATGAAGTAATCAAAGGTTGACCTTTTGAACAGTGCATCAAACACAAAATGCTAAATAAATCAAATAAGCCTATTCGTACATTTGCAGGCATCAAATGGGAAAAAGCCAATATTTTAATGTTGCTTAAACACATTTAAACTAAGACTTTTGTTAAAATGTGTAATAGTCTGCTTTAAACAGACAAATAGTGATGAAATTTTTGACTGGGCACATTTCAAGTAGTGTGGCCCAGTAAGACGTGCAGAGGCAGCATCCTCTGGATTTGTAAACTCTCCAGCTGGCAGTCACACGCTGACAATGGTTCAGTTAAGGTTACAGGAAAAACCAGCCCGCCAGCTTATTTTTCTCCCCTACGCTTGAATCCTCTCCGTTTAGACATGAAGCTCACAAATCTCTGACAGATATGCATCTTATTTATCAGCAACAGTTTATTGCGAGTAATCCGATACCATTAGGCATGTGGTCATTATTTTCTTGTTTCAGCAGTTAGGGGTGCGAGTGTGTGTTCAACATTTGCAGCATCTCACAGCAGAGGCTGGGAAAAACACCAAACATCAAAAGGCAGATAAGTCCTTGTGAAAAACAAATTCCTGTGCCAACACCACAAAGGTTCCAGACAACAGTACCTCTGAAGCATTTTAACTCCCTAGACAGTTAAATTGCCTCTAAATGCATCTAGATTAACTTAATAGTTTGTGTTTGTGCTTTGTAATTCAGCAAAAGAAGAAAAAAAGGAGGCTTTTGACGCAGATCTGGACATATGATAGAATCACACTAAAAGTTATCCACAACAAAATGGGACCGGAAAATTTTGAGAACACTCAGACATCACAACCTTAAAAAAATAAGTCGATTTGTTTGGGAGAGAAGAAGAATTCATTTTAGTTTGGGTTGAAGAATCGAACACTGACAAAATGTGTGAACTGTAAACCTTATGTAAGCAATTAAAAAACTTCAAAACCATGACTTGGAGCCAGAACAGAAGAGTATTTCAAACTGAGCTTAGACTGCTGGACCAGATGTTTGCTGTGTTTGTTTGTGTGGTTGAGGCCTTTGCATTCAGCAGAATCAGTTACAAATGTTGATTTTCAAACCTTTGACATCTTGATAGTAGTTAAAATACAATTCTGGTAGTAATTAAACGGTTTAGAATTCCTTGAAAGAAAGCACCCTCCACTTTTTGTGGTAATTTTAAACTAGGGTTGGACGATATTGGCCATAAATTGTATCACGATTAATTGTGGCATGTAGAAGATAACATGACGATTAATAGATGACATTTTCACTTGCATGTTTTTGACTCTAAATCAGTTGCATTGTGTTCTAAAACTATACCGACAAACCATCAGTCAAATGAAGTTTTCATCTTAACAGGTTAAAAAAGTAAGCTGGGAATTGAACCCACAATGTGGAGTGGCAGCACACAATAAAACAGGCTCACAAGCACATGTGATAGTGCACTGCATATAAAAACATGACATCATGGGGAGCTAATTGCAATCATCAATGTATCGCCCACGGTACATTCCCAGTTTGTGGTTATTTCCTCCCTCTTTATAGCCTACCAGGAAATTCAAATTTGCATAATAGGTTGTTCAAACAATTTGACTGGTTGTCTTCTTTCGATTGACACCTCTTCTGACCAACAACTACAGACTCTCCAAAGCACAAAATGAGTAGCAAGCCCCTCATGTCCCACCTATCTGTGGTACACTTGATTGATTGGCTTGACTAGAATCAGCCAATCAGCTCTGAGCTTCATTCTGACACCAGCCAATCAAGTGTAGTCAATTAAGTTACCTTTTATTCGATATGGAGTTTTGGAAATTTCAAAAAGTTAATGGTTATAGTGTAGTTTAATAATTAAATACTAGTTGCAGTTAGAAAAATGATGATTGAAATCGTCTGAAGTTTAAAAAATTCAGATCGACAGTTTTACATAGAAACTAGGCTTGTGAATTTTAATTTGGGTTAGGGTTAGGCCTGCAGGTTAAAGCCATGTTTGTGTTAGCTAATCTATATTTGCCAGCCATCTTATATTAGATTTACTCACAATGACTATAGTTTGCAGATGTACACACAGTTAAGAGTTAAATTAAATGTGTCAAATTGTTCATAGGACGATATTTTGCAAATGTACAGACTGTGTAGACTCGACAGGTAATGGTAAAGTTTTAAGGATAGATATTGTGCAATCTAAAGTACTTAGTGCATATGTCAACATCCCTCAGCTACTACCACACCTAATTGTAAAATTACCTGTAAAATTACCAGAGTTGTATCTAATTAGGTGTTTGCTAAGGCTGTTTATCTGCGGTGACCATCTCAATGAGGTATAGGTTTCTGGTTGTTGAGGTGTAGATTATGAACAATTAAATTTAACTTTTAAAACAACACTCTGCCAAGAGTGTGTAGCTTAAAAAAACAAAATGTTTGATGCCACAGGGGGCATGATTACTAATAAATTGCACATTTTTCTTTTACTCATCAGTCAAACTCCTACACTGATGATAATTTGCTGATTAGACAACCAGCCTTAGTGACCTTTTCTAATGAGAATAAAAAAAAATCATAATTTTCTCCAGCTCACATGTTCAAGTCTTCAAGGCAAAATACTGAACCTCACTTTGATAACATATGTTGTGAATGTTTTGTCACTTTGTAATCTTACAAAACAATTATTTGATGAATTATGTAAAAGCTTTAAGATTAGAATAAAAAGTATTTATCACATTTATTAGAATACACATTTATAATTCAGTTGACTAAAAATAAGAGGCTAGTCTAAAATGTAAGCATTTTAAAATAATCCAGCATGTTTTTCTTATTCATGGTTAATTTAAAGGTCCTATTTTTTGGTCAGTAATAACACTGAAAGGAAGGACTACTATAAACTACAACAATGTTTTCAATTGTTCTCTTGATAAAGAGCAGTGAATTTACCCAGTAGGTCATCTTTCGTGGACTTTGAACTGCACTAATAAAATGATTGATTTAATTGTCAGTGGTCAGCATGGTTGGGTATTTGAACAACTAATAAATTTCACAGAGCGACTGGGGAGTGTGGCCTCTTCTGTCTCCTACCAAATGACAAACAGACCACACTCGTGCCCTTTCGTCCCTCAGCTGTCTGTAAAGGAGAAACATGTGGTCTGGTGTCTTGTTTCAGGCAAAGTGAAAACACAGACCGCCTGAAGGTGTACAGTGGAGCAGCAGAGTCAAACAAGTTGTGTCTAAGAGTGTTTCCACTTTCTTTGTGCCAAATTCACTTATTTACCATCTCCACAGGGGGTGAGGGTGAGAGGCTTGACCCCCTCCCTTGATACGGGCTTGAGAACAATCAATCAGTATTTGGGTCATGCCACCACCCTCAACACGAGACCCTTGACCCCTGCAGCGTTCTCCTCAGAGAGTGTGACAGGGGTCTGTCTGTGCTGCCAGCGTCTGCTCTGTGTCCGACACTAACAAAGTCCTCGTGTGGAAAGGAGGAGGGCGACCTGACCCCGTCCACCGCCAACACAATAAATCCAGCTGAGGAGTTCAAGGTGGCCTGACCTGCACGCAACCTCGGCTCTGGAAACAGAACTACAACCTCCAGCGGAGACCTGCCTCCCCCACTCTCTTCTTGTCCCTGCGGCTCAAGGGAAAAACTAAGGATGTGCTCAGGTTTCATGGGAAATGCCAGTGTGTAAACGAACACATTTATTCACTTGCTCCAATTCTCATCCAAAGAGTTGGGAAGCCTTCTTTTCTATCAAGAATACTGCATGGTGGGGGCTGAATTAACATAGCATGATTACACCGGGGAAGGATCCAGCCACCAAGGAGCAAGACATAACCTGTAATTTGCCATTGAGCTCCCCGTGCAATAGACAGTTATTCTATGA